AGGACCCCGAGTGTCCCACCCTGATCCCAGGTGTCCCATCCCTGATCCCGAGTGTCCCATCCCTGATCCCAGGTGTCCCATCCCTGATCCCGAGTGTCCCATCCCTGATCCCAGGTGTCCCATCCCTGATCCCGAGTGTCCCACCCCTGCTCTGGGCTGTGACATTCCCTGATCCTAAAACAGGGATCCATTCAGGAATCTCATCCAAGGGGGGGGGCACAGGACAGGTGGAATCCCACCCAAGGAAATCCCATCCCAGGGAATCCCGGGACATGTCCAATCCCATCCCAGGGAACCCCGGGCCGTGCCGTATCCCGACCGCGGCTCTGTGGCCGTTGCGCTCCCGTCCCCCCGTTCCCGGGGGTCGGAATTCCCGCCTTCCCCGCTCACCTTCCCGTGCTCCTTCTTCATGTGCGCCACGTACTCGTCGCGCTCGGGGAACCAGGAGTGGCAGACCCCGCAGGTCCAGCCGCTGCCCTTGGATTTGGATCCGGTTTTCCGCGGGAAGCGGCTGCGCTTGGCCTTGCGCAGCTCCGGGGAGCTCGGGGGCTCGTCCTCCTCCGTGGAGGAACTGGACTCCTCCGACCCCTTGGACACGGGGGTCTCCAGGGGCTCCTGCTTGGGGGTCAGCAGCACCTTCCGGGCCCCGTCCTCCTTGGCCTTCTGGGGCTGGTGGGTGTTCTGGGGGGACAGAAGGGAGGGATTTGGGGGTTTCCTGGGAATTCTGCCCGTCCGTGGGATGGGGGTGGGTGGGGAGGGAATTTCGGGATCAGCTCGTTCCAATCCACTTCTCATGGAGCAGGTGGTTCCAACCCAGCCTGGGATGGGATGGAACATCCTTCCAGGGATGGAGAATCCCTCCAGGGACAGAGGATCCCTCCAGGGATGGAGAATCCCTCCAGGAATGGGACAGAGAATCCCTCCAGGAATGGGACAGAGAATCCCTCCAGGGATGGAGAATCCCTCCAGGAACAGAGAATTCCTCCAGCAATGGAGGATCCCTCCAGGGACAGAGAATCCCTCCAGGAATGGAGAATCTCTCCAGGGACGGAGAATCTCTCCAGGAATGGAGAATCCCTCCAGGGATGGAGAATCCCTCCAGGAATGGGACAGAGAATCCCTCCAGGGATGGAGAATCCCTCCAGGAANGAGAATCCCTCCAGGGATGGAGAATCCCTCCAGGAATGGGACAGAGAATCCCTCCAGGGATGGAGAATCCCTCCAGGAACAACCCATTCCAGGGGCCTCATCACCCCCTGAGGGGGTTTTCCTGGGGGGTTTTCCTGCTGTTCCCCAAGGGTTTTCCTGGGGTTCCCAAAGTGTCCCAGGATTCCCTGTGAGGATTAGGGAGGTTCATGGATTCAGCCCTTCCCTGTGGCAGGAAAGACCAGGGATCCCTGAATTTTTTTCCCCCTTTTTTTAAGGGATAGAAGGTTCTCCTGGTTCAGGGAAAAGTCTCTGCTGGGGATAAACTGGGGATGAACACTTTGGGCTTGGGAGGGACCCCAAAGATCCCCCAGGGAACTCTGAGCATGGATGAAAGGTGGAAGGCAAGGAAGAGGATTAGGGATGCTCCCGGATTCCCTGTGCCAGGAAAGACCCTGGATCCCTGATTTTTTCCCCCTTTTTTTAAGGGATAAAAGGCTCTCCTGGTTCAGGGAAAAGCCTCTGCTGGGGACAAACCCTTCCAGCTCAGGAGGGACCCCCAAACATCCCCAGGGAACCTCCCGTCACCCGAGCCGGCCGGGGTTGCTCCGGGTGGGTTGGGATTCTCCCATTTTTCCCATTTTTCCCGTTTTTTTCCCATTTTTCCCATTTTTCCCGTTTTTTCCCGTTTTTCCCCGTTTCCCTGACCTTGAGGTGCTCGAGCATGGTGCGTTTCTGGGCGAAGAGCAGCGGGCACTGCGGGCACTTGAAGACGCTGACGCGCTGGGGCAGCAGGTGCTGGTCAAAGTGCGCCGAGAGCAGCGGCTTGTGCGTGAACACCGTGTCACACATGGCACACTTGTAGATCAGCCTGGGGGGATAAACACACACATGTGTCATACATGTGTCATACATGGACACCGTGTCACACATGGCACACTTGTAGATCAGCCTGGGGGGATAAACACACATGTAAACATACATGGACACATATGGACACCGTGTCACACATGGCACACTTGTAGATCAGCCTGGGGGGATAAACACACATGAACACGTGTGTGACACACACAGGAACACACAGGGACACCGTGTCACACATGGCACACTTGTAGATCAGCCTGGGGGGATAAACATACATGAACATGTGTGTGACACACACACGGACACCGTGTCACACATGGCACACTTGCAGATCAGCCTGGGGCACAGAAACATACATGTGTCATACATGTGTCATACATGGACACCGTGTCACACATGGCACACTTGTAGATCAGCCTGGGGGGATAAACATACATGTAAACATACATGGACACATATGGACACCATGTCACACATGGCACACTTGTAGATCAGCCTGGGGGGATAAACATACATGAACACACACAGGAACACACATGGACACCGTGTCACACATGGCACACTTGTAGATCAGCCTGGGGACATACAGGGACATGTGTGACACATGGGGACACACATGGACACACATGGACACACAGGGACACCGTGTCACACATGGCACACTTGTAGATCAGCCTGGGGCATAAAAACATACATGAACACGTGTGTGACACACACAGGAACACACATGGACACCGTGTGACACTTGTAGCTCAGCCTGGGCACACACAGGGACACCCACAGGGGGTTGGCAGCCCAGGAAAAAACATGGGAAAAACATCGGGAAAAAATCTGGGAATCCTGAGGAAAACCCCCGGGAAAAACCCCGGGAAAAGCCCCAGGAAAACCCCTGGGGACACCCCTGGGAAAAACCTTGGGAACACCCCCTGGGAACCCCAGGAAAACCCCCAGGAACCCTGGGAAAAACCCTGGGAAAGTCCCAGGAACCCTGGGAACCCCAGGAAAACCTCTGGGAACCCCAGGAAAACCCTCAGGGACCCCGGGAAAACCCCCCAGGGAACCCTGGGAAAACCACCAGGAAAAGCCCTGGGAATCCGAGGAAAACCCCCCGGGGAACTCTGGGAGAACCACCAGGAAAAACCCCGGGAACTGGGTCAGACTCCCAGTCCCAACAATCCTGGAATTGTCCAGGTTGGAAAACCCCTCCGAGGTCCTTGAATCCCACCATTCCCTCCAGGTTCCCAATGGATCCCTGTCCCCAAGCGCCACATCCCCACATTCCCACGGATTCCCAGGACATTCCCACGGATTCCCAGGACACTCCCACGGGTTGTATCCCTGGACACCCCCATCCCAGCCCCCCGACCCCCGT